AGGCAAGCAGGCGACGCGCAGTGTGCTAGCAGGGCAAGAGCTCACCAGTGGTGGGAAGAGTAGGCTCGGCGACTCAGCGGCTCGGCAGCTCGGCGGCTCTGCGGCTCGGGCGACACGGGCGGCTCGGCGGCAAGGCGGCTCGGCAGCAACTGCAGCTCAGCAGCTCGGCGACTCGGCGGCTCGGCGGCAGGGCGGCTCGGCAGCAACTGCAGCTCAGCAGCTCAGCGACCCGGCAGCTCGACGACCCGACAGCGGCCCCCTCAGGTCGCCTCGACAGGCGACGGGAAAAAGGGGGGGGGTGGTGGGGGCCGGTAGGTGCAGCGGCGGGGCCAGCAGGTGCAGTTGCGGGGCCGGTAGAAGGGGACGGCAGGAGCCGTCAGGAGGGGACGGCGGGGCCGTCAGGAGTGGACGGCGGGGCCGGCAGGAAGGGACGGCGGGGCCGTCACGAAGGGACGGCGGGGCCGTCAGGAGGCGACCGGGCCGCGACGGGGCGGCTGGGCCGCCTGAGAGCCGAGGCAGGGGCCGCGTCAGGGCCGGCGGCGGGGCCGTAAGAGAGCCGGGGCGGGGCCGCAAGAGAGCCGGCGGCGGGGCCGCGTGAGAGCCGGGGCGGGGCCGCGTCAGGGCCGGCGGCGAGGCCGCGAGAGAGCCGGGGCGGGGCCGCGATCAGGAGGCGGCGGCGGGGCCGCGTCAGAGCCGGCGGCGGGGCCTCGTCGAGGCGGGCGGCGGGGCCGCGTTGGAGCCGGCGGCGTGGCCGGCTAAGAGCCGGCGGCTGGACCGCGTCAGGGCCAGCGGCGGGCCGCGATCAGCGGGCGGCGGGGCCGCGTCAGAGCCGGCGGCGGGGCCGCGTCAGAGCCGGCGGCGGGGCCGCGATCAGCGGGCGGCGGGGCCGCGTCAGAGGAGGCGGCGGAGCCGCTGCAGAGGAGGCGGCGGGGCCGCGTCAAGCAGGGGTGGCGGGGCCGCGTCAGAGGGACAGCGGGGCCGCGAGAGTAATGGCGACCCGAAGGGTCGCGAAAAAAAAAAAAAAAAAATTGCGCGCCTCGGAGCGCGCTTCGGTGGGCCCTAAAAAAAACGGTCCTTAGGAAGGACCCGCTCTATACCATGTGAAAGATAAGAGAACAGGAATGAAATGACTAAGTCAGAGTTGGGTACAAATACAACCCTAGAAAGCTGTACCCCATATGTGCTACCCCACTATAGCCTACAAACATGCATCAGTTATAATGCTCTGACAGCGTACTCACTACTGAGGGAGCTGCTACTGCAGGAGGCACACGACGGAATTACCTCAGGGCATTTTGGGGTAGAAAAAACGTGACAGCAACTGCAGCGGTATTACTACTGGCCGGAGCTGTTAACCGACGTGCAGCAGCACGTGGGCTCGTGCCCCACGTGTCAGGTGATGAAGAGCTCGAGGAAGCGGAAGGCGGGTCAACTGCAGCCGATACCACTGCCCGAGCGCGCCTGGCAGCAGGTTATTATGGACTTCGTCACGAGGTTACCTTCGAACCCTGGGGGTAACGACGCGGTGATGGTCGTCGTTGACAGGTTAACGAAGATAGCACACTTCGCTGCGTGCAAAAAGTCAATCTCAGCTGAGGACCGCTCGCCTGTTCATCGCAACCGTTGTTCGCCTGCACGGGATACCAGCAGGGATTATCAGCGACAGAGACACGAAGTTCACTAGCAACTTCTGGAAGAATCTCTGGGAGCAGTTCGGAACACGGCTACAGTTCAGCTCGTTGTACCACCCCGAGACCGACGGTCAAACGGAGTGGACGAATCAGACGATGGAGCAGTTGATTCGTGCCACGTGCGACGACCCGACCACTTGGGAGCAGCAGCTGCCGCTGATCAAATTCGCGTACAACAACGCCACGTCAGTGACTGTCAGAATCCCAACCACTAGACCATTGGGATAAAAGGGCTTGTTTTAGTAGCGGGTCAGTGCGCCCATAACCCCCCAGGCAAACGCGCCTGTAACCCCTCCTAGGATCGATCGGGGATCTCACAGTGTAGCTCTACTGACACCCCCCCACACTGGGAGGCCCAGGACTGAGCACAGTGGCAACGGCCAACATGTGCATACACCGGGATTCGAACCCGAGACCGCTCTGATACCATGTCAGAATCCCAGTCACTAGACCACAGGGATAAAAGGGCTTGTTTTAGTAGCGGGTCAGTGCACCCATAATCCCCCAGGCGAACGCGCCTGTAACCCTCTCCAGGATCAATCGGGCATCCACAGTGCAGATCTACTGACACCCTCCCACACTGGGAGGCCCAGAACTAAGCACAGCGGCAACGGCCTACATGTGCATACACCGGGAATCGAACCCGAGACCGCTCTGATACCATGTCAGAATCCCAACCACTAGACCATTGGGATAAAAGGGCTTGTTTCAGTAGCGGGTCAGTGCGCCCATAACCCCCCAGGCAAACGCGCCTGTAACCCCCCCTAGGATCGATCGGGGATCTCACAGTGTAGCTCTACTGACAGTGACGACGCAGCAGTCCCCCTTCTACCTGAACTACGGGCAAAACCCTACAGTGCCCATGACGCCGAGTCTGGACAACCCAACACCACGTGCATATCAATTCGCCGAAATACTGCAAGCTGCCCTCACCAGAGCCGCAGAAGCAATTAAAAAGGCAAATGTCATCGCTAAGCGCAACGCTGACCGCCACCGCCGCCCAGTCACATACGAGTCGGGGGATTACCTACTGCTCGACACGCAGAATCTGCGACTGCCCGACGTACCGAAACTTCGACCGCGCTACTGTGGCCCATTCCAAATCAGCCACATGATCACGCCAGTAACCTCGCACTTACTGTTACCGACCGACTGGTACATCAGCCCATCGTTCCACGTCAGCCTACTTCGCCCGTACATCCCCACCACCAGCCAACTGCCTCGTCACCGCCCGCATTCTATGACTCGCCCTGCATCGGAGCCGATCATCGAGCCCGAAAAAATCCTGAGCCATCGGATTCGCCACACCATGGGAATCAGGAGGATTGAATTCCTCGTTCGCTGGAAGGACCGCACGCCAACTGAAGATTGCTGGGTGCCCCTGGCCAACATCGAAAACCACCCTGCCCTGCAAGTGTACCTGAGGAGCCGGGGATTCTGCGATATACACGCACTCACGTAGCGGAGGGGGCTTCTTGAGGGGGGGGGGGGGGGGGGGGGTAGTGTAAGAAATTTTCTCGGCATTCCTAACAGAGTCCGACTACATTGCGTACAGCAACAGCCGTTGTTCGCCCGTTACTGCTAACGGGGCTTCGCCAACTTCGCGCGCACTGTTTTGCCAAACCTCGCACTGCTGGCCCGGCCGTTTCGGCCTGCGCTTCGGGGCTAGCCTGAGCCTCGCTGCCAGCATAGCACTAGCTAGCTCGCACGCACCGCGTTACCGTTTGCATGTTTCGGGTATAAATGTTCGCTCATGCCTTCGCTCACATTTTGTACTCGTTTGACACCTTAGTGCAATCCTCGCTACCTAGATCCATCGCACCCGTAACACTTAACGTCTTTACACGTTACTGATATGCTGGGTTTACCATACCGGAGTCTTAGTGGGTCAGGTATGGAATATCAGCGACGCGTCAAGGTTCAATCAATGAGTGATGGCTCGGCTGAGCCTAATTCAGAATCTTGATTCCCATTAGCTCCGAAATGGCGGGCAGGCCTCGCACATAACTCCGAACCATCGCCGCTGCCTGCTGGCTTGGGGACGCCCACCGCTGTCTGGTTTGGTTCGGTCTGATTTGCACGAATCTCGTTCGTCTTGTCCGCACCGAACCGAAAGTGTGAGACGGATGACCGCTCCCCGTACTAATTGTATCTCTGTACACACCGAACGCTGGCTCAAAAGTACATATCCCTCGAAGTGCAATATTCCTGATTCCCTGCCTGGAGCACATATGCACATCCCTCCATTGCTGATTTCTACCAAGCATATTCTAGGAACTGCCATGACTCTGGCTGCTCCCTACGTCGGGTAATACCCTGCCACGAGCACCGAATTGAACAAATTCCAATATGTTGACAGCGACACGTTTCGATACGGCAGGGCCAATTCATGACGGTCCCTGGATTCTCAAATGCGAGAGAACAGGACGGTCATTAGCGCGTTGGTAAATAGTACGACTTATTTCCCCTGTGCCGTAACAAAGCCGTCCGCGCTGTTGTTTCCCCCTCTGTCGAGGTGCCTAAACACTGAGAGTCCTTTTTTGTCCTTCAATTCCTTCTTTATAAACCTGTAACATAAAAAATCCCACTGTATGATGCGACACTGCACATTTAGAGGTATTTCCTGGCTGTAAACTGTCGAAACGAACCAGCGTTAATAGTACCCAGCCTGTTTCGGGCAGTCAACTGCAGATGAACCGCGGCGCGACAAGCCTTTTGCTGGTCTCATGCTTAAGCCTACTCGCTCACTTGACTGTCGTCGCTCGCGAGCCTTCGCAACAGCATCTCGCCGCCGCTCGCGAGCCTTCGCAACAGCATCTCGCCGCCGCTCGCGAGCCTTCACAACGGCATCTCGCCGTTCCTCTAGAATCCGGCGATCTGCCGAAATGGCCGCCGGGAACACCAGGATTAACTACCTCCGCTGGTTGCGGCGCGGTGGGCAGCATAGACACCCTTGGGAGCATCTTAGTCCAAGATGATCGGGAGAGGATTAGCTCCCAGCCGTCCGATCAGCAGCCTCACCTGCCTGCGCAGCGGCAACGACCGTGCGATTGCGTGATCAACTCCGCAGGCAGCCCTTTCAGGCGAAGGCTTAGCCAGGCTGCGAGACCGTGCGATTGTGGTTACCATTCTGTTCGCGTCCCCCCACGGCGAAAGCGAGAGTCGAGGAGCTCATTAGACATAGCTGCGGAAACAGAAACGGAAACGGAAACGGAAAAGGAAACGGAACCGGAAACCGAGTGGTACTTGGAGAAGCGGTATTCAAAGTGGCGATACTTCAATTGGCGGTACTTAGAGGGGCAGTATTATATGAGGCGGTACTTAGTGGAAATGACGCCAGTGGAACCGTTAGCAGAGAACCGCACGCGGAGAGTGGACCCGTTGCAGCATTTCCAGTACTACGAGGGCGGGTGGGACCCCAGCAGCAAGGACTACTGGGCGGTACGTCATGTACACGTGTTTGACACGTCATGTATGCGGGTTTTCAGGCGTGTCACAACCATGGCACGCGGAGAATGGACCCTCTCCCGCTGCAGCGCTTGCAGTTCTACGAGGGCGGGTGGGACCCCAGCAGCAAGGACTATTGGGCAGTGAGCGGTACGTAGGCTAGTCGGTTTTGTTAGCAGCATCAGGAGGGCCTTAACAGCAAGCTCTAAGAGGGTGGTATGTCATATAAGCGGGTTTTGAGACGTTTTGGAGTGGTATGTCTCACGACCTTTGTAGGAAGTTTTGCGAGGGGGTGTGGTGTGGTGTGGTGTGGTGTGGTGTGGGGCTCTCAGTGACAAGTCCTACTGGGCGTAGGCATATGAATGCATATGCAGGTTCCCGTGTCCCCCTCGTTTGACTGTGCATGTGCGCTCCACTCACGCAATGTGCTTTCTTGGAGGGTGTTGGGACGTTTCAAAGGTAGCGCTCTCTCTAATCCGTCCTCTTCCCTGCCCTAGCCTCTCCTCCCTTCCTTTCTTCCTCCCTTCCTTTCTTCCTCCATCATCCGTCACCCCCTCTCTTCTCCCTGTCCCTCTCTTCCTTTCCTCCTTCCCTTCCATTCTTCCCCCATCCCTCCACTTCCACCCCCACACCCATTCTCCCCCAATCCCTCCTCCCCCCCGCCCATTCGCCCCCCATTTCTCCCCCCACTTCCCCAATTACCCCCCAGTCCGTGGCATGGGCAGGGATCTACGGCCTCGTCGTGGGGGCGGCATGGGTCGTACTCGGTATAAGCATCCTCGCTTTCGCGCTCTGCGCGTGCCTCTTCTGCCGCAAGCGGTGGAAGGCCCGTCTGGACGGCGACCAGCCTCAATACACGCCCTTCCAGATCCGCGTGCCACTTGCCGCGCTGCTATTGGCTGCAGTCGTCATCCTGTGAGTGTGCCACTTGCCGCGCTGCTATTGGCTGCAGTCGTCATCCTGTGAGTGTGCCACTTGCCGCGCTGCTATTGGCTGCATTCGTCATCCTGTGAGTGTGCCACTTGCCGCGCTGCTATTGGCTGCATTCGTCATCCTGTGAGTGTGCCACTTGCCGCGCTGCTATTGGCTGCAGTCGTCATCCTGTGAGTGTGCCACTTGCCGTGCTGCTATTGGCTGCAGTCGTCATCCTGTGAGTGTGCCACTTGCCGCGCTGCTATTGGCTGCATTCGTCATCCTGTGAGTGTGCCACTTGCCGCGCTGCTATTGGCTGCAGTCGTCATCCTGTGACTGTGCCACTTGCCGCGCTGCTATTGGCTGCAGTCGTCATCCTGTGATTGTGCCACTTGCCGCGCTGCTATTGGCTGAAGTCGTCATCCTGTGAGTGTGCCATTTGCCGCGCTGCTATTGGCTGCATTCGTCATCCTGTGAGTGTGCCACTTGCCGCGCTGCTATTGGCTGCAATCATCATCCTCTGAGTGTGCCATGCCACGTGCCGTGCTCTCATTCGCTGCAACCGCTATTGATTCCATGCTTCTACTGCATCTGAACCTTTGCTTCAAGTGGTGGTCCCCCTGTGCTGCTATCATGCACTTGCACGGCTGCCTGCGTCCCAGTTTTGAGGCGCCTCAAAACTATTGATTCCATGCTTCTACTGCATCTGAACCTTTGCTTCAAGTGGTGGTCCCCCTGTGCTGCTATCATGCTCTTGCACAGCTGCCCGCGTCCCCTGCTCGCTCCCTGTGTCATCCAGGGTGGGGACGGTGCTGTTGGTGGCGGGGGGGACGCTATTTCACGGCTCAGCACCTATCACAGCACCACGCAGTTCACCTATCACAGCACCTATCACAGCACCACGCAGTTCACCTATCACAGCACCACGCAGTTCACCTATCACAGCACCACGCAGTTCACCCTCGCCACCACACAAGCCCATGCAATTCTTGAGGCAACTCAAGTTTTTTCACGTTCTCCTTTCCCCAATCCCTGTCCGCTTCCCCTTTTGAGACGTCTCAAAAGTCGCCACCACACAAGCCCATGCAATTCTTGAGGCAGCTCAAGTTTTTCACTTTCTCCTTTCCCCAATCCCTGTCCACTTCCCCTTCTTCCTCCCCTTCCCGCGTTCCCTGCTCGCTCCCTGAGTCATCCAGGGTGCGCTTCGCACTGCTAGTGGCGGGAGGCGTGTTATTCCACAGCACCTACCTCAGTGCCACGCAGTTCACTCTCGCCACCACACAAGCCCTCTCGATCCTTGAGTCAGCTTCCCCCCCATTCCCTTCCCGATTCCCCTCTCCGCTTTCCTCATCCAGGGTGGGCTTCGCACTGCTAGTGGCGGGAGGCGTGTTATTCCACAGCACCTATCTCAGCGCCACGCAATTCACCCTCGCCACCACACAAGCCCTCGTGGGGGCCACTCACAACCTCTCAGCCGCACTGCAATGCTCTGCCAATACCACGCTCTTTGATGCTGTGATTCCCAGTAAGGCCATACTATTCTCACTTGTCTGTTCCAAGGTGCGTTTTGAGTCGACTCAAAAGTCATCTCGTTACAATGGCACACGACACATTCTCTGCCAATACCACCCTCTTTGATGCTGTGATTCCCAGTACATATTCTCACTTGTCTGTTCCACATATAGTCACTCCTTGTATAGTTACATGTCTGTTCCACTCACAACCTCTCTCTCGCCCTGCAACGCTCTGCCAACACCACCCTCTTTGATGCCGTGATTCCCCGTATGTTGCCACGCTCCCTTGCCCCCACTCTCCCTAACCCCACTCTCCCTTGCCCCTTGCCCCCACTCTCCCTTGCCCCTTGCCCCCACTCTCCCTAACCCCACTCTCCCTTGCCCCTTGCCCCCACTCTCCCTAACCCCACTCTCCCTTGCCCCTTGCCCCCACTCTCCCTTGCCCCTTGCCCCCACTCTTCCTAACCCCACTCTCCCTTGCCCCTTGCCCCCACTCTCCCTTGCCCCTTGCCCCCACTCTCCCTTGCCCCTTGCCCCCACTCTCCCTTGCCCCTTGCCCCCACTCTCCCTTGCCCCTTGCCCCCACTCTCCCTTACCCCTTGCCCCCACTCTCCCTTGCCCCTTGCCCCCACTCTCCCTTGCCCCTTGCCCCCACTCTCCCTTGCCCCTTGCCCCCACTCTCCCTAACCCCACTCTCCCTTGCCCCTTGCCCCCACTCTCCCTTGCCCCTTGCCCCCACTCTCCCTTGCCCCTTGCCCCCACTCTCCCTTGCCCCTTGCCCCCACTCTCCCTTGCCCCTTGCCCCCACTCTCCCTTGCCCCTTGCCCCCACTCTCCCTAACCCCACTCTCCCTTGCCCCTTGCCCCCACTCTCCCTTGCCCCTTGCCCCCACTCTCCCTTGCCCCTTGCCCCCACTCTCCCTTGCCCCTTGCCCCCACTCTCCCTTGCCCCTTGCCCCCACTCTCCCTTGCCCCTTGCCCCCACTCTCCCTTACCCCTTGCCCCCACTCTCCCTTGCCCCTTGCCCCCACTCTCCCTTAACCCCACTTTCCCTTGCCCCCACTGCACTTTCCTCCCACTCCCCATTCCTCCAATTCTCTTTCCTCCCACTCTCCTTTCCTTCAACTCTCTTTTCTCTCTCACATGTCTGTTCCACTCACAACCTCTCTCTCTCTCTCTCTCTCTCTCTCTCTCTCTCTCTCTCTCTCTCTCTCTCTCTCTCTCTCTCTCTCTCTCTCTCTCTCTCTCTCTCTCTCGCTGCAAAGCCCTGCCAACACCTGCCAACGCCGCCACACAGCAGGCGGTGATACACAGAGCAGCAGAGGCAGAGAGCATGGCAGTTGACATCCAGGCACGGACTGTGAACAGCATAATGGGTTCCCCCCCTGTCCCTTCCTCTCCCTCTTCTGTCCCTCCCTCTCCCTCCCCTCTCCCTCTCCCCCCGCCCAGCCGCCACACAGCAGGCGGTGCTGCAGGGAGCAGCGCACGCAGAGAGCATGGCAGATGACATTCAAGCACGCATTGTGAACAGCATTGAGCGGCTGGACGGCTACGTGAAGATCGTGTGCGTTGGTTGGTCTAGGGATGGGTGCATGCGCGGTGGGATGGGATGGGATGAGGTGCAAGATCGATGACTTGTGTGCTGGGAATGGATTGATGGGAGGGGAGGGGTTGTGAACAGCATTGACTGGCCGGATGGATACGTGAAGATCGTGTGCGTTGGTTGGTGCATGCATGCATGGTGGGATGGGGTGGGTTAGATGGAAAACTCGAGGCAAGGTGATGGGATTGTGAACAGCATTGACCGGCTGGATGGCTATGTTCAGATCGCATGCGTTGGTGCATGCATAATGGGATGGGTGCATGGTGGGATGGGTGCATGGTGGGATGGGTGCATGATGGGATGGGTGCATGGTGGGATGGGTGCATGGTGGGATGGGTGCATGATGGGATGGGTGCATGATGGGATGGGTGCATGATGGGATGGGTGCATGGTGGGATGGGTGCATGGTGGGGATGGGTGCATGGTGGGATGGGTGCATGGTGGGATGGGTGCATGGTGGGATGGGTGCATGGTGGGATGGGTGCATGGTGGGATGGGTGCATGGTGGGATGGGTGCATGATGGGATGGGTGCATTATGGGATGGGTGCATGATGGGATGGGTGCATGGTGGGATGGGTGCATGGTGGGGATGGGTGCATGGTGGGATGGGTGCATGGTGGGATGGGTGCATGGTGGGATGGGTGCATGGTGGGATGGGTGCACGGTGGGATGGGTGCATGGTGGGATGGGTGCACGGTGGGATGGGTGCATGGTGGGATGGGTGCACGGTGGGATGGGTGCATGGTGGGATGGGTGCACGGTGGGATGGGTGCATGGTGGGATGGGTGCACGGTGGGATGGGTGCATGGTGGGATGGGTGCACGGTGGGATGGGTGCATGGTGGGAGTGGGCAGTCAGATGGATATGAATACTGGGCTGGCAAGGGCGACTTTTGGGACGTCTCAAAAGTCAAATGGATGTGAATACTGAGTTGGGAAGGGAATGATGCTGTGCTTCGCCAAAGTGTCAGGCCCCCACCCACTGTGACACCCTCCCATTCCTGCACCTTACCCCGGAACCTCGTTGGCAGCACAATCACCTGTTGTGAGCTGCTTCAGTCTATCACACAAACTATAATTTGTTTCGTTGTCTTAAGAACAACTAGAGTTCGTTTCATTGTCCTAAGAGCAACTAGAGATAAGGCCTCCGCAACCCACATGTCGGATACTGACAACAAGTTCCTTCTGTGGGCCGCCTGAGTCAGTCTATTGAGCCGTGTGAGTCAGTCTATTGAGCTGCGTGAGTCAGTCTATTGAGCCGCGTGAGTCAGTCTATTGAGCCGTGTGAGTCAGTCTATTGAGCCGCGTGAGTCAGTCTATTGAGCCGTGTGAGTCAGTCTATTGAGCCGCGTGAGTCAGTCTATTGAGCCGCGTGAGTCAGTCTATTGAGCCGCGTGAGTCAGTCTATTGAGCCGCGTGAGTCAGTCTATTGAGCCGCGTGAGTCAGTCTATTGAGCCGCGTGAGTCAGTCTATTGAGCCGCGTGAGTCAGTCTATCACACAAACTCACATCAAATTCTGAGGCACCCCCAAAGATGAGCCCAAAACGCACGTGAGTCAGTCTATCACACAAACGCACATCATATTCTGAGGCACCCCCAAAGATGAGCCCAAAACGCACGTGAGTCAGTCTATCACACAAACGCACATCAAATTCTGAGGCACCCCCAAAGATGAGCCCAAAACGCACGTGAGTCAGTCTATCACACAAACGCACATCAAATTCTGAGGCACCCCCAAAGATGAGCCCAAAACGCACGTGAGTCAGTCTATCACACAAACGCACATCAAATTCTGAGGTACCCCCAAAGATGAGCCCAAAACGCACGTGAGTCAGTCTATCACACAAACGCACATCAAATTCTGAGGCACCCCCAAAGATGAGCCCAAAACGCACGTGAGTCAGTCTATCACACAAACGCACAACAACCTCCCCCACCCACCCTGAAACACTGTCCGTTCAGTTCCCCACCACCATGCTCCCTTACCTTCCCTCCACAGCAGCATCACCATCCTCGACATTGGCTCACTCACTGCTTGTGAACTGTGTCTCACAGACCCACAACAACCCCTGTCAATCCTTCGCCTCTGCCCCCACCCACCTCCCTCCACAGCACCATCACCATCCTCGTCATTGGCTCACTCACTGCTCTGCTCGTGCTGCTGGGATTAGGTGCGCAGTGCTGTCGGTGAGATGTGTAGGGGAATGCGTTGCTGGGATTAGGTGAGTGCTGCACAAGATGTGCTGCTCTGCTCGTGCTGCTGGGAGTAGGAGCGTAGTGCTGTCGGTGAGATGTGTAGGGGAATGCGTTGCTGGGATTAGGTGAGTGCTGCACAAGATGTGCTGCTCTGCTCGTGCTGCTGGGAGTAGGAGCGTAGTGCTGTCGGTGAGATGTGTAGGGGAATGCGTTGCTGGGATTAGGTGAGTGCTGCACAAGATGTGCTGCTCTGCTCGTGCTGCTGGGAGTAGGAGCGTAGTGCTATCGGTGAGATGTGTAGGGGAATGCGTTGCTGCTGCTGGTGAGTGGCAAGGGGGACTGGTACTGATTCGACGCTGAGTGCTAGGGGTTAACCTTTTCAGTGCAGCTTGTTGGGGGCAAGGCAAGTGACAGGTAGGAGGACAGGGCGTGTTGCTGGTTGCGTCGAGGTGCTGGGCATGGTGAGAGGTGGACTGTGGGCGCTGATCAGGTGCAGTGTCGAGGTGGCTTTTAAATCGATCAAAAAATCATCGCAAGACAAGGTGCTGGGCGTGGTGATAGGCGGAGTGTGGGCTTTGAGTCGACTCAAAAGTCACCTCTAAAATCATCGCAAGACAAGGTGCTGGGCGTGGTGATAGGCGGGCGGAGTGTGGGCTCTGAACAGATCAGGGTGCTTCTGAGTCGACTGAATAAAATCAAGCCACTGCAGGTAATTCTAGAGCCGTCTTACAAGTCTCCTGCTTACCGAGGCTTCCTGTTGAAACCCTGCTTACCGAGACTTCCTGTTGAAACCCTGCTTACCGAGACTTCCTGTTGAAACCCTGCTTACCGAGACTTCCTGTTGAAACCCTTGCACACGTGTCATGTCATGGCAATGGTTCGAACAAAACCCTCACAATCCGAACCCTCGTAATCCAAAACATTGCAAGCTCAGCAACACGTGTCATCTCATTGCAAGTCATCGCAACCAACCACTCCTACGTCCACCCTTACCCCTCCCCGCTCTCTCCCTCCTGATGCATGCTGCTTTGACTGCCTCCAGCGGTCTGGTCTGGTCTGTTGCACACATGTATGTAGGCGACTGGGGCGTCTCTAAAGTAATTTCCCTTTGCGCCCCCCCCCTGCTCTTTCCCCCCCACCCATGCTTCAGTAGACGACTTTTGAGACGTCTCAAAACTCCCGATGCATGCTGCTGTGGCCGCCTCCAGTGGTCTGGTCTGGTCTGGTCTGTTGGACACATGTATGTAGGCGACTGGGGCGTCTCTAAAGTACTTCCCCTTTGCGGCCCCCCCTGCCCTTTGCCCCCCACCCATGCTGCAGTTGCCGGCTTCTTACAACGGGCTGTTGCATCACAATCCTAGTAGCAGAGATATAGGCGGCTGCGGCGTCTCAAAAGTCCTGCTATATTCGTGTGACTTTTGAGAAGTAGCAGAGATATAGGCAGCTGCTGCGTCTCAAAAGTCCTTTCTCCTTGAACCACCCCGCTCTTTCCACCCACTCCGCCCATGCTGCCCTGCAGTTGCCGGCTTCTTACAGTGGGCTGTTGCATCACACATGTAAGAGTCTTTTAGCAGAGTTGTTTTTACAGATTATTTCGTTGCACATGTAAGGGCGTTAAAGGTGTATGGACAGGAAAACTATGTATACATACATCTATATAGTTTGATAAATAGATAGATATGTATACATATATGTTTCATTGTTTCCTGTGCTATTGTGCTTCCCTTCTGTCCCCTTTTAAAACAGACTCGTTAGCCTTATTTGGGCTATGGGGTTCATCACATGGAGTACTGTCACCCTCTGCCTCCTCTCCACTCTGTAAGTGCTGCTCCTCCTGGTATGCTTAATTGCTGCTACTGGTCGTATGCATAAGTGCTGCTACTAATCGCATGGTTAAGTGCCACTACTCGTGGTATGCTTACGTGCTGCTACTGGTAAACTCCACCCCTCTCCACCGTGCTCCACCACTCTCAATCCCTTGCCACCCCTCACATCCAGCTTTGACGGGGACACGAGTGCGGCCATGTGGCAGGTGTCACAGCAGGACCCAGCAGGCAACTCCACCACCATGCAGCAGTGGCTGCCTCGTGAAGCGACACCTGCTCTGAGACGTCCCAAAACAGCTCTCAACCCCTCTTCGCCCCTCTCCACCCCTCTTCACCCCTCTCCACCGTGCTCCACCGCTCTCCACCCCTCCTTTGCAGCTTTGCGGGCGACACGAGTGCGGCCATGTGGCAGGTGTCACAGCAGGACCCAGTAGGCAACTCCTCCATGCAGCAGTGGCTGCCTTGCGCCCGGGCAAGCGACGTGCGCCAGGCCATCAACACCACCGTGACTGCTCTCGCTGCATCGGTCTCCCTGCTCAACACCTCTGTGGTCACGACCTACCCCCAGGTGAGCACCTCTCAGTTCACCCACTCAGGTCACCCATGGGTCTGTAGCAATGGCTGCCGTGTGTCTGGGCAAGCGACGTGCGCCAGGTCTAAAGGCCACCGCCACTGCCATTTCTGCATCGAGTGATTTGCGCAACACGTCTCTTGTGACTCACTACCCCCCGGTGAGCACAGATTGTAACAGTGCCTGCCATGCCATGTGTCTGGGCAAGCGACGTGCGCCAGGTCTAAACACCACCGCCACTGCCGTCTCTGCATCGAGCGCAACACTTTCTTGCCACGTCCTACCCGCAGATATAAGCACCCATGCATTGTCTGGTTCTGAACCCTACGTGTACTGCTTGAGAGCTGATGGTGATGCAAGAAAAAAGAGCTTTGAAGCGCCTCACAAGTTGGGACATGATCTGAGGCGCCCCAACAATCGTCTGTGAGGCCACCATGCATCTTTCCTTCTTCTCCTGCCGTTCCTCTTCTCCCCTCATGTGATTGGCAGGTGTTGACTGCAGTCAACGCCACTGGCATCTGCAACCCCTATGCGGGCGGCGGCGCTGACCTCAGCTACGACGTCACCTCCTGCCCGCCCGGCACTCTGCCGCCCGCCGCATTTTTCAAGGTGAAGTTTCCAGACTCCTTCAACCCAGAACTTTGCAGCCCGCTGCACTCTTTCGTGCGGGTGGTATCCTGAGACATGTCAAACAAACACTTAACAGCCCGCGGCAATTTTCCTGGTGATGAATTACAGGCCTCTCTAACTGACACTGGCTTTCTAACTGACACTGGCTTTCTAACTGACACTCTGCTGCCCGGATTCTTCTAGGTTATTCCGTTCTAGGACAGTGGATATCGTTCTGGGTTTGAGTCTACTGAGATATTCACGTGGATAAGGTCTGTTCAGGTGCCTCATCAACGGATGTGGAGTTAGGCAGCGTGGGTTTGGACTGTGTGTGTTACTCCGTGTACGTTTATGTATGCTGTGTGGGGTCAGCCAAGTTTGGTTCACTCGATGTGGGGCTGTTAAATCCAATCTTTTCACAGCAGGTCTCCCTCATGCCTCCCCCTTCCTTCGTGCCTTTTCCCTTCCTGCCCGCCCTCTTCCCTCGCGCACCTCATGGCCTCCTCCCTTCCCCTCCTCCCCTCCCGTCCCCTTACAGTCTCTCGCCGCGTTCACCTGTACAAACAAGCACCATGTGCCAGGTGAATGTTTCCCAACGGAAACAG